GTCGCTGCTTCCTAGCTGTGCTGCTCTCACAAGATATTTAATCTTTATGAGCCTATTTCCTCATCTGAAAAATATGGATTATAATTCTTACTTGTGGCATTTGAGGAAGAATTAAATTTGAAAATGCATGTAAAATGTTAAAGTACAGTGTCTGTACATACTAAGCCTTCCACAAATGGCAATTATCTTTACATAGGAGGAAACATAAAAAATAAGCCGTCCCCGGGTATAACCTGTTCTAGCTGTTCTAGCAACAAGGCTAAACTTCCAGCCTGGTGTACCAGACTCCAAAATGGCCTGACTCCTCTTTCAGAAAAGGGAAATAAGTGTTGAGAACTGGGAGGAGGAGCTTTTGCTTTTTAGCTCCATATTCTCCAGTGGTGGAGTTGCAACTAAAATAATAATAATTAACTTTATTTCAATGTTTACTATGTCCTAGGTGATTTAAATGCATTAATTTATTTAATCTATACAACCTGTTATTCACATTTCAGATGAGGAAACTGAGCTTTAACAAGGTTAAGTGTACCACAAAAATGCTTCCTGCTCTTAAAAATTAACTGCACAATGAAGGCTTTCATCATCTTAATATAATGGTAAATCTTACCATTATTAACAGTGGAACAATAAGCTAGTATGTGTCTCCTGCTGGGATGCTAACATTAAGTAGACACCATCAACTGTGATGTATTCTTACCAAAAATGTTTAACTTGGATCTAAACAGGTATATAGGAGAGGCAAGAGGATCAAGCTAAAGGAAAGCAAAAGTCAGTGAACAGATTCAGGAGATGAGACATTCTGTAGAGTAACTAGCCACTTTCCTGCACCAAGACAAAAAGTGTCATTCTAAATCAAAAAATTTTTAGAGACATAACAACCAGAAGTAGTGTATGGTCCAGGATTAGATCCTAGTTTGGACAAATCAGTTATAAGGAACACTTTTGGGAAACTGTCTGGGCCTTAATGTTGCAGTGCTAGAAACCGGCCTTTGAGCAGTCAGCCTAAGTTGATTCTTCTCAAGGGGAAACATTTGTGAATTATGTTTTGATTTTTTCCTAACTTCCCTCTGTGCTGATCCTGGGCCTGTTTTGCCCTTAAACCCATTTCTCACTTTCCCCCTGCTTTTCTCAGTATGGCAGTGGAGGCTGACCCCATAAAGGAAGTCTGTGTGTCCTAGACTCCTGTGCTGGTTGACTTTCAGACTGAGTTGCTGGGCTCCATTAATGGGAGACACTTCTGGAGATTGGAGGGATTGAGGAAGAAGCCAGAGTATCCATTCTCACTCCTACTCCACCTCCCAACCTCAGGCTGTCTCCTCCAACTACCTGGCTCCAACTTCTAGCACATGAGCCCAACCCCAACCTCCTCCTCTCCCCGCCCCGGCTCTGGTAACACCATGTCCATCTTCTGCCCCTCCAGTTTAAGGGTAGCAGTAACTTCTTGCTATAATTCATCTCTGGGCTATTTCACTGTTCTGTTTCACTTATCATCCCTGCCAACATCTATGTAAACCAATTCTCTGAATTAAATTCCCTATTTTAAATACTTAAAGTGATCTCTTTTATACCACTCAAAGGATGACCTTACCTCCTAGTTCAAAGGGGCATCTCCTCCACGTCTTGCCTTTGGGCCCTATTATCTTGTAAAGCAGTGCTTTTCACACTTCCTCTGCGTGTGAGAGCTGAGAGAGCTTATTTGTTACCCTCATTCCCCTGGTTCTAGGGTGAAAATCCCAAATAAGCTTAAAATGCCCTTGAACTCTTCTGTGTTGTCTTAAAAAAAACACAGTGTTTGCAATCTACTTTATAATACCCCATGGGATTTTTTTCTTAAAGTCTTTTACACTTAAAATGAATTTTATTTATTCACTTTTGAATAGGTAATAAATACACATGGTGCAAAATGAGGAAAGCACAGAAAAGTATGTCCCCCAGGCACATCCTTCTTCCCAGTTTCTTGCATATCCTTCCAGACACAGACTGAGCATATGCAAACATACACATGTTTCCTGGCTCTATTTTACAAATGCATAATATTTCATTGTATGGATGTATGGTCAATTTATTAAGTCCTCTATTGATAAACACTTAAATTGTTTCCTGTCTTTTGCTGTTACAATGATGCTGCTGTATATAGCTAAATGGCATACATGCAAGTATATTTGCAGGATAAATTTTACAACTGGAATTACTGGGTTAAAGAGCTTTGCATTTATAAGTGTAATAATTATGAATTTAATCATAATTTAATGAGTGGGAATCGTCTGATTTAGCTTAAACTAATTAACATTCCTTTTTGATTTCATTCATAGGGCAAACTTGTAATAATGCTAGTAGTGAAATTGAGACAGGAATGGGGCAGGGCACAGCCATTCAAGGAATAACGCAGCAGTTAACACCAAAATGGCGAAAGATCAATCCCCAGTAGGCCTTGAGGCTCAAGGTGGCAGGAGATTTGACCTCTAGCAGAACTTGATCCTCATTATATGCTCACTGTAACATATTAGCATAGTAAATAACATGCCCAAGGCTGGCCACAAAAGGTCAAAGAGTAGAAAATGGCCAACTTCCTGGGAATCCCAGCCCCTTCCCCAAGGTAGTTAGACCCGTCCTTCCACTTATTAGCATAGGAAGCTACGGAGCCCATAAAAACTGACAACACAGCGCCTTGCAGCCACACTCTCTCCCTCCCTCCTCTTAGGAGATGGCCATCACTCTGTCTATGGAGTGTGTACCTACTTTTACTCTAATCTGAGCACCCAACCCCCACACCTCATGGCCTTTCCCTTGCCTCTTGATGTATCTCTCTAAATAAATCTACCTTTACTTAACAGTGGCTCGCTCTTGAATTCTTTCCTGCATGAAGCCAAGGACCCACACTCAACTGAGGCCTGGGACACGGCCCTCCTCATGCCCCAAATCAGTTTTTCCTGCATCAAATTTAGGATTAATGCTATGATAAATATAATTTTAGGTAATTTGTTTGGGATTCTCAGGAGGAGGGCAATTTCTAGATCAAACAGGAGGAATGTGATAGCTACTAGGAAAAATTTTATGGAAAAAGGGAGTCATGCTGATCCCATGGAATCAAATCCACATTCATAGGGGCTTAGTTTTTCTGTATAAATATTTAGTTGAGGGAATATTCAGTCTGATATGTTAAAAAGTCATTGTATTTTAATTATAATTGTGTATTTTTTGAAAACCCATAATTCTTAGTTCCATTCCTAGACTTCTGAGCCCTGAAATTCAGGGGAGAGACTGAATCCTGGAGGAGGACTTGTCTCTGTCCTCTGAGCTGTACTTCCAGCTTAGAGGGGGCTTACCTTTTCACAGATGTCTCACTGGGGAGGGTCATATCATTGTGGCCTTGCCCCCTAGCTTTTCTTTTTGAACTGAAACCTCAATACCATGAAGTGGATTCAGGAAACTTTTATTTGATCTTTCCATTTGGAAACAACAGCAGGACCCAGGGCACCAATTATGGAAGTTCACACCAGGCCCCCCCAAGTGGATGTAAACAAAGCTATGGCTGAGAACTCATGACTGTGGCTGATGAAAGGAAGCGTAGTTTCTGAGGACTTAACCCAATCTTTAGCCCTCTCTACCCTGCAAGAAAAATCAATTAAGATGTGACCTAGCTCCTGCTTCCCAAGGCCAGTGCCCAGAGACAAGGCTCTTGACACCTAGTCTGGGCAAGTAAGAACACTAGGACCACAATGAGAATGCCCACTTGGCGCCTACAGGATAACAGCAGAGTCCATCCTTTTTGTCTGGCCAAGTGAGGAGGAAATAATTATT